ATGATTAAGCTTTTATTATCTGCGGTGTCCCTGAGCTCACAAATTGGCGTATGAAAAAATAGACCTGACATTTTTCCTCAGCTTAAAATGGCATGAATGTTGAGAGTGACATAGCTTAGTGAAGGCATTAGGGACAGTTCTGCACACACAAAAATACAAATTATTAAAGGTTTTGGAATATGTTTTCTATATGAAAATATGATTTGCAGAATATCGAAACACAATGGATCATATTTACTATCCTTCTTTCCTATGCAAGATACTGTATGATACTGTCAGACTGCAGTAGCTAAATGCAGACTACACTATGGCTTACACTTTTAGACGAGGCATGACACATTTTGATCTTTACAATTACGTTAAAGCAATGTTAGTCAAGGTTGATATGTTTTTATGTCAACATGCTTGAGAATTCCAATTGAAGGGAGATGAACACAATCAATACTTTACTTGAATGTAACCCAATTAGCAGTTCCTACCACGAACATATTTTATTTAATATGAAAATCCAAGGAGAGGATAAACTTTTGCAGCTTCAAGGCCTGCGAGTCAGGAAAAGTAGATATTCGGTTTACTGTAGAGTTTCACTGGAAAGCACCAGGCTACGTCATGATTTGGTGATTGGCCCATCATTGTCATTAGTAATTTAAAGTTAGGATATCTATAAGGGGGAAAAAATCGCTACAGAGGCACCTGAAAACAGTGTACAGAGAAAGGGGTTGTTATTAGTGTTTTTCCTATGGGGCTGCTTCATGACAGTGTCAGTTCCATTAGCCCATTTGTGTTCGGTTTGGGAAACATTGTTGACCATTTGAGGGCAAAGTTCACACACAGTGCGTTGTAAGTGCAATACGGGAGAGTCTAGGTTTGAGTAATGCAGGAGTAGTCCCAGCATGCATGTCCTAGGTGTTACTTAAGCTGTAACCCCAACCTAAATGATTTATACAACCACATCATATTTATTATCTGTAAGCTACACATAAGCTTTTTTTTTTTAAATTTATTTGTTGTTTCTTTGGAGTTGTTTCTTTTTGTTGTTCCGTTCTATGAAGATTAACGCTTGCACAATGCAGCTACATTTTCACAATATATTTATTTATTACTATATTTGTATTAAATATGAACCAACCAATCAAGGACCAGCTAGTATCATTGTATATAAACAATGTACCTGAGGTTCATCAAATCTAACCTGAACTGGTGTGCTCAATAACAAAAAAGGTTACGATCAAATTGATGTTTCATGTACTGCTCAACACAACAGATACTTTACTTACACAAAATGATCCTATATTATAATAAATTATGAATATAGTGATATATAATTGAACAAGAACGCAGGGAAAGTTGTATTGTACTCAAGGGAAACAGCATCTGTTTCACCTTTAAACTGCTGAAGTAAAAAGCTAACAGAGGTGTGTGTGTGTGTTTACAGAGGCCACCTGTCTCTAAAAGGTAGAACATGCATTCAAACGTGACTGTCTGACATTCATTCTCTTGTTCCACGCCGTCACATTTATCTATCTTGTCTCATTTTCCACCTATTCAGCTTCTACCTCTGCTCCCGCTCATGTCTGGCCACACCCTGTTACACAGCAGCTGAGTGGCTGTGCATGAACAGTGTTGTTGTACAGTGGGCTAGGTGGGTGAAGTATTTGTTCTTGTGTTAACAGTTCAGTGGCTTTTTCTTCTTCCCCCCATACAGGATTCAGGAATTGTCAAATGCAATAGCTGCACAGTGAACTTTTGGAGAAAAGAACACCAGGAATTTACAAATCCATAATTTAACTGTAATCATTTGGCTCAGTAGCCTACGAAAAAGCAGGTAACATGTAGCTTTCAAACACTGTCACTGATGAATTACCACTGTTACATCTGAGCAGCTGGACTTACATACTGCGGCAATCATCTTTTGGGAAAAAATAGGGATTTCTCATTAAAGATGTCCTAGATACAGCTGCCTTACAGTGATGAATAGTTGTATAGGGAACAGCCAACACCCTAGGCTAGGCTAATAGAGAAAGTGATACAACTGCTGACACCTGATTTGAGTGGATGATGCTCAGCTGCAGCATGAAGCACTCTCAATAGATGAGTGAATAAAAAGACACAATAAAAAATGCATTTGAAATACAATCCAGTATATATAAAAAAAGATTTAAATCATACACCTCCCTGTGTTTCTGGGCTGAACGTGCACAGACAGGTGTTAAATGGTGTTGATGGATGTCCTCGCAGGGGAAGTCGTTCGTCTTCATGGATCCTTTTCTTTTGAAGGATTGCCGTCAAAACACAGGTTTCTAATGTATGACTTGTTCAGACAGGACCACAGATGTTTCTTTGACAGGGTTTTCTGTCTGTGAGTCTTTGAACTTGCTCTTGTAAATCTGGACAACTCAACCTTTGAAAATATATAACAGGTCTGTCAACAATGCTTGTTTGATTGACTTTAAGATAACATATAAATATAACGTGCCGTTAGTCCATGGAATGATACATTATAAATATATCACTGTGCTGACAAGATAGATTTATCAAGGGAGAACATACATTTCATCATGGATTTACAATTATTTAAATGTATCTGTATTCTTACAATAATACCCAGCTGGAGGCCCCATTGTGTGGCTGCTATAATTTGAATGCTCCACAAAGTTTCTCCACAACCAAACTGCATGATGGCCTGCTTTTAAATCTGCCCTAGTCTTTCCTGTTTGTATAGAGAGGCGAAGTCCCTCCCCTTCCGGTTGAGCTCCATGGGACCTTATTTCGGAAAAGTTATGCATTGAAGTCAATGGAGAGAGAAAGATTATCTTTCGATCCCGTTTGAATTGTGCCACGAATTACACATATGATGTTTGTCAATTTAAAAGATAATTTTACAAGTCAAAAAAATAAAAATGTGTCGTAAAACTGTGAAGTAACACTTTTTTTGTGTGAAACCGCTCAATGAACTACATCTCCGGTCTCGCACCACACACCAAGACGGCCGTCACGTTGGCACATTTCACTTCTTTCTTTCAGAATGAGGCGAAAAATATTAAAAGAGGTGAAAATCACTACAAGTCTGGGCATGTTGAGAGCTGTACATACACAAAAGGGGAGTTAGTCGGTTCCGTAAGAGCCAGCATGCGGGACCGGGATTCTGGGATTTGTAGTCTTTCTAGTTGCGTATTTTTCATAGTCTTATATTTCAACAGTTTTACGACAAACTGTGACTTTTTTGACATGGAAATTATTATTTAAGATTGACAAACATCATATGTGTAATTCGTGGCACAATTCAAACGGGATCGAAAGATAATCTTTCTCTCTCCATTGACTTCAATACAAACTTTTTCCGAAATAAGGTCCCATGAGTCCCACCGGAAGGGGAGGGACTTCGCCTCTCTATTTGCCAGATTTGTGATGTCAGCTGCTGCCTTTATATCCTGTAGGACAGTGCTTCTCAAAGTGTGGTCCGCGGACTACTGGTGGTCCGTGAGCGCCCCCTAGTGGTCCGTGAGTATATTGGTAAAATTTCACATTTGAAATAAATAAATCAATTTAAGTTTTCCGCACTCGCGCGGGAATATCTCCCCAATGGAGCGAGCTTAAAGTGGACCTATCATGCTATATTTGAATAATATAGTGTAGGACCATACCTATATAAGGCATATTTATACTTTTTTTTTTTCAAAATACCAAACAGATCATGCATTTTAGCCATGCCTCATTTTGCTCAATTTGACATTTTTTAGCTCTGTTTTTGCAAGGGCAGATTATGTGAGAACAGCACCATCTACTGGCCTGGCATATGTACTACAGCGTCTCCAGCGCTTTCGAACGGCAATGGCCGTGGCTGTCTCCTCCTGATTGGTGGAGTTGGCCCAATAGCCGTAGCGCCACTGTCCTGACGTCAGGACAGTGTTCAAATCTGGATCAGTTTTTATCAGATCCGTTGCACCCCCCTTTTTTAGAGATTTGGGTATGGAGGAAAATAGAGAGGGTTGTGTTTTCTGACACTTGGTGAGTTCCCTGGAACACCGGGGACACATATTCATGTATAAAAGACGTACAAAAGTGCATTTTGCATGATAGGTCCCCTTTAAGTTTCACTTTCGATTGCATGATATAGCCCAGTGCAACACCTTCGTCACACATGTTGGCACCTGCTTGTACCATTTTCAGGCGATTTGTAATCTGTTCTAGAAAGACTATGTGTTTTTGGATATTTGTTGAGTTAGGTGGTCCGCGAGTGTTTTTTTAAGTGGTCCTTGGTATGAAAAAGTTTGAGAAAACACTGCTGTAGGAAATGTTTATCCGTGCACTGAGCATTAAGGAATAAAGAAACCATGACACAAGTCACACTGTTTGTTTTTCTTAAAATCCACATTCCTCATTATTACGTCCTCATTACTCCACAATATGTATTAGATAACGCTAGTTAGAAAGCTACTTTGCAGATTTAGATTTAAAAATACAACATAAAAATATTCTTATAGATTTTGATAGATTTTTTGTTAAATTACATGGCAGAAGTATAGTCTAATGTTATTGGAATTAGCCACACCTTTAGCGGTCGCAACAGTAAAATGATTTTAACAATTAATTATATTATATTAATCAGACATAAAAAATGTCCAGAAATCCAGTCAACTTTACCAGCTGTGATTGATAATAATGCATCAATAACAATCAAAACATATAATTTGTATTATTCTGAAATGGAGCAATCTGCATAATAAGTACTTTTATCTTTGCTAATTAAGTATATGTTGATGATAATACTTTGTAACAGAGTATTCCTACACTCTGTTACTTCCACTTTTACCTAAGTAAAACATATCCTTCTCCCACCACTGCCTGAGAAGGACTTTGTTCTGTATCGATAACTTGTAGCAGGATCGATGCTGTAACAAGTGGGCTGTGAAGCTGTAAAATCTTAGCTTGGCGGTGCCCCTGAAGGCGTCATTCCCCGGGATGTTCAGTACCCTCCCTGTCCCTGTGCTGCTGCCCGCTGCCCGGGCTGCTGCTCGGCTGCTGGGCGCGGGATGACGCCACCTCTCGCTCCGCCACCTCTCGCTCCGCCCCGCCAGCGAGAACTCGCTCTTTGCGTTCATTTCATTCCTCTTCTCATTCCGAGCATTCTTCGCATCTCTGTCAGTGCGCGATTCACCTACACCTTCCTGGCTGGCCCAGAAACACTAGAATAACTTGACATAGTATTAAAAAAATACCCCGTAACATCCCATTTACTCAAAAAGAAGGGACAATTATATGAGATATCAATAACGAGGTAAGTTTCAATGGTAGTTGCAGGTATCCAAACTGGTTGTAGACTTCTGTGCGTGGGGTTTTTAGTTGACGTCTTTGTAAATATTGAACAATTTATTTAAAAATGTCGGCTTATTTAGGTGTTTACTATTTATCCCATGGCGTGGAGGCTGTCTTATTCCATCGCTGAGAAACATGGCCAATTCTGGTCGATGTTTGCAACAGGGTGCTGCTCACTTTGAACACTGTTGTAGCCCATGGCTTTGACATAGCAGCGAAAATCTTTGACATTTTTCACATTTTTGTAAAGAAGCCCGATCATACGCCCCTTCTAAAAGCCTCAGAGGCCGTTTTTCCTGTGTCAGATCCCCAGAAAGTCCCAGCGGGATTCGGGATGAACTAAAAAAACATACCGCACGAATAACGCTTTTTTTTGGACAAGATGACGGTTGAAAACGTTGCTGTTTTCCTCTCCGTAGTTACTTGGAGATTTCACCGGAGGATTTTCGGACCACCTCGAAGAGGAAAACCACGGCGGAGAGAGACTTGTTGCTTCAACAGGTTTTGACGGTGGTTATTGAAACCGTCATCGAAGTTTTTTGTAAGTAACGTTGCATGTTTCAATGTTTGTTTGTTACTTCTTTTAGCAGTGTGTGTGCTCCATGTTGGTGCTGCAACCAAGTGAACCGGAGGGAAAGGGCAGCTTAAAGCCCTTTTTGTTGTTCGGTGGATTAAAGCTTCTTTCGGGTTATTCTTTGTATAATTTCTGTTAAAAAACTACCGTTGTAGAAATGGTGGTTAGTTGCTTCTTTTGCGTTATTTTGGTGGTTTGAATGATTTTAACTGGCCTGTTTTAAGGTATAATCTTTGGTTATAGTCCAGGAGGAACATTTGCATTCGTTTAAATTGAAGATTATTTGGCCTTTCCTTCATTGTTTTCATTTTCCTTCCTCTACTTTGGGAAATGCCTGCTCAGCTAAAACTGAACTCCCCTCCAACTGTAGGCCAGCTGTGTGTGCATGTGTTGTGTGTGCATGTGTGGTGTGTGTGTGTCTGTGTGTGTGTGTGTGTGTTAGACAAAAGTTGTACTCCTTACAATGATTTCATCCTTTTAACTTTTTTTGTGGACTGAGGAAATTACACAGGATATTATGTGAAGGAAGACATGAGAATAAGGCCTATTTGTTTCAATAGCAACAGCAAAGTTAGCTTTAAAATTGGGACTACACCCTGTTGCACTAAACACTGAAGGATCTCCTCTATGAGCCAAAGGGCTAGACTCCTGACACTTTGCTTAATATTTGCTGCTGTAAATGGTCAGATTTGGTTTGCTTTAAACAAACAGCCCCGTCTGGCCATCTAGCCACAGTTTACACAGCTCAGATATGCTGCTGTGATTCAATCAGGGTGTCTTTGTACTGTATTAATTTAAATGGGAATTTTTAAAATCACCTCATTTATTCTCCTGTGAGCTCTCCAGTTGTGCTTTTTAACTATCCCAGTCGGCTATCTGTTTAGTCAGACTGTGAAAGTAACTTTTTTTGTAATATCATTATTTTTGTCAGCAGAAGTGACACAACTGAGTAATGGGGTTTTAAAATACCTTCGCAAGCTTGAACATAAACCCCCACTACTACTACTAGTACATCTACTACTACTTCTACTTCTACTACTACTACTACTTCTACTACTACTACTACTACTACTACTACTACTACTACTACTACTTCTACTACAAACGTTTTTGTCGAAGCACCTACAGCCTCCCACCCGTTTTTGTTGTTGTTATGGCAAGTGTACAAGTTTCTCCCTTTAAAAAAAAAAGAAAACATGCTTTTTACAGTAACCTACTGTTGAACATTTGATGTAACGCATGAGACAAAAATATATGTATAGGAGACATTCTATTAAAATGTAATTAACATGAAAGGGCCTTTGTGATTGCCAGAAAACAGTCTGAATGCAGCTAGACGTAACCCACACACATGTACAGTAAGTGTAAATCTGCTTGCTTGAAAAAAAAAAACAAGGTAGAAATCATGCAATCATTGGAATCTGCAAAGCATTTACGCAAGAATAGGATATTGTCTTTGTTCGACGGAATAAGTATTTTCCGTGAAACTAGTTTCTACAACCCCTGCTATATAGGATACACAGGCGATGTGTAACTTTAACACATTGCTTGTTCAGGTTTTCTGTCTTGTTTAGATCTAAGGACAGAGCTACGGAGTGTGTAGTCTATCTGTTGTGAAGTGTTCCCGAATAATGTGCTTTTGTGAAACACAGTGGACTGAGTTTCTTCTTGGAGCAGAGTGAGACATTTCTTTTCTTCAGTTGTCCATACTGTTGATGTTGAAGGTTGTCCTCTTTCAAAATAATACATTTTGCCAAACATTTGTCAAATGTCTACGTGCATATTTTAGCTTTTGATAGTCTTGTGAGCCTGGCATTAGCTGCTACATGCGTTTGTCTCCTTACCAGAATTATTCAAAGCTCTTACCATGTTTGTGCAATGATTTATCATTAAGTGCATTCTTAACATATATTATTGACAGAATATGCCAATTTTACTTTTGACAATTAGAGATATACTGAACTGACAATAAAACATTGATACTCTCAGTGATGCTCAAATCACAAAATGACACCAAAGAAAGAATTCAAACTGTCTATTCAGCTCCTAAAATGATCACCTTTATCTTACATTTTAGATTGACCACAAATTGTTCCTGACTGTTTAATTATAGCACATTAGGCGATACAGTGTGTTTGTGTGTGTGTGTGTGAGAGAGATGTAGACCTGACTGCTGCAGAGAGGCACCTAGCCGTACTCTGTGCAACAGGTGCTTTAGAGTAGAGATGTATTAATAATCTCAGCATGGCATCTCATTTAAAATGAGCATTTCAATTCAACAATTGATAGTTTAAGATGAATTATATTTGAGTCTTACCGCAGTTCTGATGTACTAAGGGTTACGGCTACATTTAAATATATATTTTATAATAAAGCCCTAAAATGTTGAGCAGTCAATTTTTTTTTAACTAGAAAGCAATTTCAACTTTCACCAGTTATTTTGGTTTGTTTGTGTTAGGATACACCTTTATTATTTTGTTGTGATTTTTGCTTTGTGAATTGAACCTGTCTGTAGTGGTTTTTAACATGATGTTTTCAAGTCTCAAATGATATTGTAAATGTCAACTGTTAAGAGCTAGTTAGTTCTCAGGTTTCACAGTTTTTCAAAACTACTCCCCAAGTAGTGTATGAACAGGATATTGCTGTTATAAATAAAAGTTTCACCTCACAGAAAATGCAAATACATGTTACACGGCACATTTTCTATTTGGAGTGTAATTCCTCTTGGGAATGTGAACACATTATGAGTCCCACGCTTTAATTGAAATGATAATAATACACAATATATTTGATGTTATGAAAATTCTAGGCTAGAAAAAGGATGTGTGATCTGTAATTGAATCTGAACACAGTGTCATTTTTAATTGATTGTGCAATTAGACATGATGTGTGGCTGGAGTAGAATCAATCGCATCAAAACATCAGTGTTCTCCACGCTCAAAGCACGCTTTAAAGAGACTCTCCTGCAGGCTTCCAGACTGTGTGTGCCCTGAGGTAAACCCTGGTCTAGAAAGGGAATTTTAGAGTATGCACTGCTGCTCAGCAGTTTGAGCAGGACCCTCTGAGGCCAGCGGAGAGTGCCACCAAAAAGGAAAAGCTGGCTCAAAGCCACTGACGTCATCTAAGTAAATCTGCTCCAGTACTGCAACCATAAAATGACTGCCAGCTACCGAATGCACTTTGGCCCTGTCAAACACCTTAGTGAGAGCAACATGTTGTTTTTTTTCTCCTCATGCATACTTATAGAAGACTGGTTGTGTTTAAGTCTGCCTCTATTATGCTGAAGTTGTAGCAGACTTTGCCTATTCATTCAAAAGGAACAACTCATGTTTCTAATTTTACATAAAGCACCAAATGATTGAACTGCCCCAACCTTTGAAGGCTTACCACTTTAATATTACAGCCTTATAATTTGTACCATATGGCAAAGCATACTGTCTCAACCACTCATAATTGATGTGTAGTTCCATCCATTAAGAAGTTATTAAGTAGCTGAGATATTTTCTTTCCTACCCATTCTTATTTGGAATAAAAAGACAAATACATGAGCTGCTTCATGATCACACAAGGAGGAAAATCTATATGAACTCCATGAATCATTAGATGAGTCAGTCTCTGAAACCACTATAAACATTTTAAGTTCTTAACCACAATGAAAGCAGGAAATCTCGGCTTCAACAACTTCCTTTCCCAGTGCTTGCCATAGTAGCGGTAGTGGTGTTCAGCTCTCCGCAAGTAAAAGGAAACCCATGGAACAAAGGCACACAGTCACTTCATTTACTGAAAGTGTGTGTAATTTGTGGCTTGTATTCAAATGTGGGTTATTCAGTCTCTCTGGCACCGTATTCCCAGTCGTTACTTGTGCTAAATTTCCACAAGACCTTTCATCAATGGTCGCTGTATTGTTATCATGGCTGACACAGATCAGGCAGGCTCTCTCTCTGCCCTGAAGGTGCCCTGGATTCAGTGGAGGCACAGATAGACTGAGGGGAAGCTCCTCATTAATATGCAGGCTGTGCCCAGTAAATTAGTTTGGAATCAGAGTCGGGACACAGCAATGGAGAGCTGTGTTGCCCAAACTTTTTTTCTTCTCTGTTTCGTCTATTTAATAGAGGGTAAGGGGCTTATTTGCTCAAATGAACATCGCTTTTTTTTAACAAGCAAGTCGCCGATTTTCTATATCTATAAAGAGAAGTAAAAGCAAAGGTGCGTCAGTCCGTCTCATAGTTCTTGTCTGTGTACATTTTTCTTACTAAAGGCTTAAAGCTTCAGCTCACAAAGATACTGTAAACTAAATTGGATTTGTTCTACAGAATGTGCTTTTTAAACACTGTTATTAGTATCTTCATGTTTTCTCAACTAGTCTTGGTATCTTCATATTTTTTCGACCAGTTTTGATTCCTGGTAGATTATTATTCAAGAAAACGTTAACCTGTTGTTCAGTATTGGCTAAACTGAAGACCACACATAGTGTCTTTAGAATAGCCCCTCACTTCATAACCACCTGCTTTGTGTATCAGCCTTGGATATTCATTTGTTTCAGTGCAAATCATGCCTTACTATGGCTTATGCTTTTTGGGATAATGTCAACAAATGCCAAGTATTATAAAATGGTACATGGCTAAAAAGGTAAAAGGCAAACAGCCCATAATTACATTGAATTTTCACAACAACTTTGTGACTTTTAAGGTAAAGTGTGTGTTTTGTCCAGTCCAGAACTATATTTAATTTGGTATAGCATTAATTATACCTCAAAATATTTGTGTGTGAATAAACCCTTAAACACTCACAGTCTTCCCCGAAATAGTCACATTATACATAGGCCTAATTGGTTGTTTGTAAATTGATGAATGAATGATACTGTCAATTTCAGCTGTCTGCGCAGCGCTTCTTAAGAGGCTGATGAGTCCAGTGTAAAATGTAGGAGTTGCCAAGAGAAAAAACAAAGGATTGGAAAAGATTGACGC